GGCACCAATGAGGTCCACTTCCCATCACGTACACCTAATCTCCATTTTGGATCTTGGGTGGGGACCATTGGAGGAAGCGGTAATAGGTGGGGGAGGGGAGCTGTGACCTGTTGCTTATGATCGGTGACAGTTGGGCTGGCAGGCCGCCTCCTTTGTGTCCTGCCCACCCCTTCGGGGTTCAGACTATCACACAACAGACACAAGTACTCATCCTCATTAACCAGACACGCACAGGCTTCTCAATGCGTGGCGCTGTGGTAAATGATATTTTGTAGGATGAGTTTAGCATTTATCATCTAAACCATGATACTCGTTTTTAAGTTTAGTTTATTTATTTTGAGAGAGAGAGAGAGAGAGAGAGAGAGAGAGAGAGAGCATGCATGCAAGCAGGGGAGGGGCAGAGAGGGAGAGAGGGAGAGAGAGAGAAACCCAACACAGGGCCCGAACTCATGAACCGTGAGATCACGATCTGAGCCGTAATCAAGAGTTGGATGCTTAGTTGACTGACCGCCCGTGTGCCCCAAACCATAATCCTTTGGAGGGCAAAAGGAAGACACTGCTGATAATAATGCCAGGGTGATGGGCGTAAGCTGGCGTTCTCCTGGGCAAACCTGTCGACTGCAGAGTAGAGCTCACGCTCTGTTAACAGAGCTCAGCTCTATCCTCTGGGGGCTGAGTCTGGGAAGCTAGACCCTCCCAGACACGCACGGAAGGCACACAGAGAATGAACGCGTCACGTCATCGGTGGACACGAATGTGAACTGCAGGCCCCCAGGTCAGGAGCAGGGAGAATGGATACGCTGAGGAATATCCCAGGGAAGAGACAGGCTGAGATGGCCTGAGACGGAAGCAAGCCCCCTCTTCTCTCTCTCGGCCATGGGCGAGTGAGGCCTCGGGAGACGTTGAGGAGGATGGAGTGTGGTTCAGTGGGCTTGAGACAGCAGGGATGTGAGCAGGATGAGTGGCTGAGGACGGGGAGTGGGCAGAGAGGGGAAGCACTGTTTACACACGGTGGGAATCCAGACCGGCCCACCAGAGGGGGCCCCGGGGCCGGTTATCCAGATTTGCAGTCCACCCACCTCTATTGCGATTTCTGCCTCGCGGTGTTAATAAACCCATCCTTGGGGCGCCCCTTCTGGGATTCTCTCTCTCTCTCTCTCTGTCTTCCCCCTTGCTCACTTGCGCCCTCTCTCTCTCTCTCTCAAAAACTAAATAAATGGATAATAAACCCATCCTTAATACTTAAAATTCTTTACTTTAAGAGGATTCTGTATCACTGCCATAAATGGAGAGTATCGGTTGCCATAAATAGAAGGTAATTATAATATTAAATTAATCAGCAAATAAGCAGAAGGAAAACAGCACAGAGTTGTCAAATTCTAGCTAAATGCTGCCTGAGGGTCCTCTCTCTTATTTAAAAAAAAAAGGGGGAGGGAGGGAGAAAGGAGAGCGGAAAATTGGCAAGAGAGGTATTAAAAGATGTATTAGCGTCAAAAGGAGACTCTTCCCTGGATGTGAGTGAGAGAGAGATGCAGAGAATCAGCTCACCAGGCCTCGCAGCATCTCCAGAACCACCCTTTGGGAAGCGCTCCCCGTGGAGAAGGGAGTCCCGGAAACACCCCAGCTCCCCTCCCGCCTGACTGTGCCCCCTCTCCTCCCGCAGAGTGACAAAGTGACCATCGTTGACCACCACTCTGCCACCGAGTCCTTCATCAAGCACATGGAGAATGAATACCGCTGCCGGGGGGGCTGCCCTGCCGACTGGGTGTGGATTGTGCCCCCCATGTCTGGCAGTGTCACCCCTGTCTTCCACCAGGAGATGCTCAACTACCGACTCACCCCGTCCTTCGAATACCAGGTCCCGCCCCTTCCGGCCTCTTTTGTGCTAAGTCTCCAATACCTGGTATATGCATGTTTGGCTCCAAGCATGTCTCAACTCAGACTTCCTCTGCGGACGCCCAAGTGCTCCATAGTCCACGTGGCTAGCGGCTCCCATATTGGACAGCGCGGCCCTAGCCAGAACACTAATGGAGACAAAGGGAGTGGTCAGGGGTCCCCAGGAGAGGGCTTCAGAGGGACCAAGGGCTGAGTGAGAAGGTCTAGCAGGACAACACAGGCAGACTGGACCGGCCACTCAGGGCAAGGACCGCTGTGGTCACCGCCGGCACGTCTCCTCCCTTCAGGGGCTGAGGGTTGGGCATAGCTGGGCAGCCACAAGTACCCAGGGAGTCCCAAGCCTCTCCCAAGAGGAGCCAGATTTGCTCACTGCAGTGACCATCGTCCTCTCTTCCCAGCCTGAGCCTTGGAACACCCACGTCTGGAAAGGCACCAATGGAACCCCCACAAAGCGGCGAGCCATCGGCTTCAAGAAGCTGGCAGAGTAAGTCTCCTGGAAATAGGTGGGGACTGGAGGTGCCTCCAAACTCGGAGAACGCCAGAGAAGGAGGCTGGGCAGATGCCTATGCCTCTGACCTCTTGTGCGATGTGAGTTCTCCATTTTCTCTGACCACCTCGTGCCTTCTGTGCCTGAGGGCCTGAGATATGGATGTTGGGCCAACCTTTTTTCCTTCCCAACCTCACTTTCCTCACCTCTGTTTCCTAAATTCTTGTCTTGGAGGCAATGGCGTTTTGATAAACCAGCTGTTCTAATAATAATAATAACAACAATAACAACAACAGATGTGTAACATTTGTCCATTTCCAGGGTGTAAATACTCCCCCCATGGCCAATTTCAAGCTGCTAACAGGAAGTCACTGAACCCAGAGGAGGGAGGAGCTGGTACAAGCCGACCCGGGAGGGCTCTCTCTCACTCAGGGCTGAACTCTAACATCGCTCCTTCAGTCGTTCATTCATTCATTTGGCCAGCAAGTGAATACCGAGTGCCTGTTCTGTGCCAGGCACTGTGCTAGGCTCCAGCAATGCCTGATCAGCCAGTTAAATGATGTTCTTGTCAAAGCTCAAAGCCATTCACTTGTCCAAGAATCACACAAATACAGTGCGCCATCGAGGAATGGTCTCGCGGTGCCGTAAATAGACCGAACCCAGTTTGGGAGGTCAGAGAGGGCTTCCTTCAGAAGATGACAATTGGGCTGAAGAATGAGATGAATAGACTAAGCTGAGCAAAGGAGAAGAGGGAAGGGGCTTATGGGCCAAGGCCACTGAAGAGTAATAGGCCTGAAGAATGTGTGGCCAGCCAAAGGACCCGCTGACAAGTGAGGTGGGGCTGACCGAGATGATCGAATGGGGATGCCAGCCTTCTCCTAAAGAAAGCGAATTCCACTGGCCCCTTCAGCAGAGACCCCTGTTTGGAGTTAAAGTGCTGGCACAGAAGCTAGGCATGCACTGAGCTGCTCCTCCATTGGCCCTCTTGGGTCCAGAACTCTCTGGATACAATCCCTAGATGTACAACAGGTGCCACGCAGGCCACAGACCCCAGAAGCGAGGGCTGTGGATCCCACAGGGACTCAAACCCAGGTCCTGGCTCCGTTCCCATGGCCCAGAGCACCTGTCTCCCTCTCTCCCATCTCCCAGCCAAAAGAGAACACATCAGCAGCCATTCTTTCCTAACCAGAGAATCACAGATATTCTCAGGGAGAGCAGCCTTTGGCTTCAGTTCGGTTCAACTGTTTCTGGGAGAAGAAGGGAGGAAGAAATCTAAAACATTAATTGCACTATTAAGTGAGGGGTAGAAACAATGGGAGTTAATTATAGATGCTTTTTTATGCTCCAGTCATTCAAAGGGAATCCTCCAGGCACCTTTTATTCGTTTCTGTTTCTCCCCCTTGGCTCAGAATGCTCCTGCAATGTGGGTGGTTTCCCTGATTCTAAAAAATGATGAATTTACCATCAATAATCCCCAGGTGAGGGTAATTAGCGATTTGTCTACTCTGAGGTTCCTAATAGAGCCGGGATGCTGGCTCAGAAGGTGAGCCCAGCCATTCCCGAGCCACTGCCTGTCTGCCACCCCCGTGCCCTGGTAGATGGGAAGAAAGGAACACTGGCTCTGAATTCTCCATTTGGCAAGAGAGAGCCTCGACTTGATATTTCAACTCCCCAGGGCTCCGGTGGTAGCAGCATCTTTAAAAATCATCCCTTCTTTTGATATTTATTTAGCACCTATTAGATATCAGACTCTGTGCGAGACTCTGAATATGCAAGCCTGACTAAACCAGACCAGTCCTTCCTTTGTGGATCTATAAACCTCTAAATTTCCTTCTAATTCAATGCCTGGTGATTTATTAGTGATTCTCTCTCTCTCTCTCTCTCTCTCTCTCTCTCACACACACACACAAATGTAAGCCCCGTGACACCTACTTTTTTATGTTCCTTAGCTCCTATAACTATACCTAGCAGATGTTCTGCACTCAACAAATGTTTAATGAATGAACGAATGAATGAATGAATGAACGAATGATTGTCTTCGGGGGCAATGCTTGGCAAACCAAGGTTCTCAAGACTAGGTTTGGACAACCAAGCAACAAACTAACAAAACCAACCATGGTTTTAAACTTGGGCTTCTAGTGTCCCTAAAACCATCAGAGATCAAGAGAGTAAGTTCTCTCTCGTTACATTTCGAGGATCATGGTTCTGGCCCCAAAGTCCCAGCCTAGCATCTTCCCTTTTTTCTACATTTCCCATTTTCCTCTCCATTCTTTTCTCTCCAGAGCCGTCAAGTTCTCAGCCAAGCTTATGGGGCAGGCAATGGCCAAGAGGGTCAAGGCGACCATCCTTTATGCCACAGAGACGGGCAAGTCGCAGGCCTATGCTAAAACCTTGTGTGAGATCTTCAAACATGCCTTTGATGCCAAGGTGAGTCGGGGGAAGCGTCAGCTCCCTGGCCCCTGTGGTATGTATAGTTGGAAGGGGAGAGAGTGGAGTCAACAGAGAAGAACCTTTGAGAATGGATGATAGCACATCCCGAGGTAGCCATCAACACACATATGCACATCCACCTAAATTTCAGGGGACTTTGATGTCCTCTCTTCCCATGACCTTCTAGGAGTCTAGGAGTCCACAAATTGAAACCCCATCTCAGAGCAAAATCTTAGAGGGTTTATGAAAAAAAAAAACATTCTGGGGTCAGCTTGGGAAGCTCTGCATTAAACACAGTTCAGTGGGTTTCTTTGCTGAATGACTTCTTGGAGGCTTGAATTTGCAAGTCTGTACGGCTGACCCTTGAAAAACATCGGGGTTAGGGGCACTGAAAATCCACATGCATCTTTTGACTCCCAAAAACTCAACTACCAATAGCCTATTGTTGACCAGAAGCCTTACTGATAACATGAACAGTTGATTGACATGTTTTGTATGTTACATGTATCATTACCATATTCTTACAATGAAGTAAGCTAGAGAAAGGAAAATGTTATTAAAAAACCATAAGGAAGAGACAATGCATTGACAGTACTGTATTTATTGGAAAAAATCCATGTATAAGTGGACACACACAATTCAAACCCACATTGTTTTAGGTCAGCTGTATTCTTTTTTTTTTTTTCAACGTTTATTTATTTTTGGGACAGAGAGAGACAGAGCATGAACGGGGGAGGGGCAGAGAGAGAGGGAGACACAGAATCGGAAACAGGCTCCAGGCTCTGAGCCATCAGCCCAGAGCCCGACGCGGGGCTCGAACTCACGGACCGCGAGATCGTGATCTGGCTGAAGTCGGACGCTTAACCGACTGCGCCACCCAGACGCCCCTAGGTCAGCTGTATTCTAATCTCCCAATGAGAAGGGGATAGAATATAAACATGTTTGTGCATGACTCACTTATTTTCAAGGAGCCTCTCGGAAGTCTGGGCTTCCCTAGAACCTACTTGGAGAAATGTGGCCCAAGAGATGCTAAGATAGAGGGCAATAATCTTCCTTAAGGCAGGGATCTCGGACTTACTTGGCCCAGGCCCCATACTGCTGGAGGGAGGATTAGCAAGGAGACTGAGCAGACCTGGTCAGATCCAGCCAGGCCATTCCCAGCCTAAAAGTGGTCAAGAAGATTCCCGGATCAGTTGGTTATAAGAAGCCCAACGATCTCAATCAAGATCTGTCTCTATTAGCGGCCAACCCTTCCACCATTGCCCCAGGTTCTTTGTGGTCCTTCAGGCCACTGTGACTTTAGAAAGGTCCCACACCACCAAAAAGCTTTTAGTGCTACCCACTTGAGCCCATTGCATAGTGACACCCAGAACTTTTGGTTCTTCTTCCAAAGGAGATGGCTCAAGATGACTCATCTTTTTCCTCTCTCTTCTTCTCCTTCACTTTTTGTTCTCTCTTACCTCTTCTCCTTGTCACCACCTCACTTCCTCTCCCCCCACCATCCCTTCCCCCTCACCCACCTAGGTGATGTCCATGGAAGAATATGACATTGTACACCTGGAACATGAAACTCTGGTCCTAGTGGTTACCAGCACTTTTGGCAATGGCGACCCCCCAGAGAATGGGGAGGTAAGACGAGCTTTCACCTGTTCTAGCATGTTCCCCATCAGGGGGAAGAAGGAGGGGCCTCAGTTACACCTGCTGTTCAGTTAGCAAATCCTCCCAGAGCCTCAAAGCCCACGACTTGGATTTGGATCCAAGTTCACAAAGATTTGGGACAGTTCCAAGACCTCAGCCTATTGGTGCCCACTGATGAGCCAATCTTTAGTGACAATGCTGTCGCCTTAGTGAGCTACTTCTTTTGGAATGGATGCTCCAATTAAGAGCTTGGCATCCCCTGCTCCAGATGAGAGAAGTAAAGTCAATACTACTTGGCAATGAGAAAGAATGAAATACGGCCTTTTGTAGCAACATGGATGGAACTGGAGAGTGTTATGCTAAGTGAAATAAGTCATACAGAGAAAGACAGATACCATATGTTTTCACTCGTATGTGGATCCTGAGAAACTTAACAGAAGACCATGGGGGAGGGGAAGGGGGAGAAAAAGTTAGAGAGGGAGGGAGGCAAACCATAAGACTCAAAAAATGAGAATAAACTGAGGGCTGATGGGGGGGGTGGGAGGGAGGGGAGGGTGGGTGACGGGCATTGAGGAGGGCACCTGTTGGGATGAGCACTGGGTGTTGTATGGAAACCAATTAGACAATAAATTTCACATTAAAAAAATTTTGTAAAGAGAAAGCCACAATGGGGATTTGTGTGCTGGGAATTGGGGGTCCACACACTGTAGCCCTTTTATCAGCTGGCCCTTTCACACACATCTGCTGCCCAGCCTGAACCCCTAACCATCTCTAACATCCTGGCCCCCAGAGGCATCAGGCTCCTCTTTTACCAGCCAGGACCCCAGATGCTCAGTGCCCTACCCTATTCTGGGTTCTTAGACCCATGCTTCACATTTTACTCCTCTCTTGGCTTCCAGAAATTCGGCTGTGCTTTGATGGAAATGAGGCACCCCAACTCCGTGCAGGAGGAAAGGAAGTAAGTGAATGACCCTCCAGGGTCACATGACATACTCTGCGGGTAACTGAAGATCGTCTTTTGGCCTCTGGGGTTCACATTTGGGTTCTGGCTGGGTTTTGTGACGTAAAGCCCCTTTGTGAGCAATTTTAGCTGGGGGGTGTCTGGAGTCCACTGGGGCTGATATTTTCGCTTCTCTGGTAACTTCACAGCCCCATGTCTCAGTTTCCTTGTCCATACAAATGCCTGCCTTAACTTCTTGTAAGAATCAAAGGAGGAAATAGATATAATAGCTCTAAGTGTCTTATGAAAACTTAGAAGCCCTATGTAAATACCAATTCTTATTATCTTTCCCCTTCGGAAACCTACATTCAAAAACAGCAAAAGTGAGCTCCTTTCCCTAAAACGTTTCCATCAGACGCTCACGGTGGAGTTGTAGCTAATGTAGAGGTTGAGTTCAGTAGATAAGATACCTCACAAGGCAAAAATGAAACAAACCAAAAAAACCTGTAGCCAAAAGACATTCATGCTGAAATCGCATCCCAATGTCAGGTTGGGTTCTAAAGATATTTCCTAAGGTGACAAATACCTGTAATGATGACCACCCTTGCGAAGCCTGTAAGTCCCCCCTAAAGTAGACAACATATGGCGTGTGCATGTTGAGCTGTCTTTCCATTAGGCCAACACGGCGTCTCCTCCAGCTTGGAGCAGAGCAGACGCCACAGCTGACTGGTGTTTGGAGATGGCGGTCTGCGGAAAACCTCTCCTGGGTTTCTCTTAGCCAAGCACCTGTTGCCAAACTCACATACATTCGTTCCATATCCAAGGGGTAGCTGAGTCCCTCGTGATCGGTCATCTTTGACCATGAGCACCTGAGTCCTCGCTCTCCCTGCCCTTCTTTCCCAGGTGGCCATCACAGGCTCCCCCTCACCCCTCCTTCAGGGAGAGAGAGGGCACCATCCATTCTCCCCTCTAGGTACCCGGAACCCTTGCGTTTCTTTCCCCGTAAAGGGCCTCCCCTCCCCCAAGGTGACACAGAAGTCCATGGTCTGGCTGCAGCCCGTGACAGCCAGCAGAGGTAGAGTGCGTGTGTGCATGTGTGTATGTGTGTGCATGCGTGCATGTGTGTGCAGGCGTGCGTGTGTGTGCACATGCATATGTGTGCATGTGCATATGCATGCGTATGTGTGCAGGCATGCATTATGTGCACGTGTGCGTGCATGTGTGTGTACATGTGCGTGTGTGCACATGCGTCCGTGCACATGTATATAGCGCGTTCATATGTGCATGCAGGCGTGTGTGCGCAAGGCGTGTGTGATTGTGCACATGTGCACGCATGTCCGATGCCCAAGCATCCAAAGCCACCTCTGGGTATCAAGGAGACCTGCCCTCTAACCCGGGCTGTGCCACTAACTCACTAAGCAGGCTTGAGCAAGGCGTTTGACCTCTCTGGACCTCAGTCTTTCTCATCTGCCAAATGGGGAGAACCCATCTCTGCCCTGACCACCTCTGGGACTTGTTGAGAGGATCAAAAGATAAAAACAAAGAGGAAAGCATTTGGAAAAACCTCAAACCTCATACAAATACATGTGCTGTTATTTTTAACCCACAACCATCAACCATCCCTCCCACACTAACAACACAGCCACCCCCTGATATGTTGCATGACTTATTTGGAGAAGTGACTCAGTGTGAGACTATTTTAGGGCAGAAAATACACTTACATATATTTAGAACTTTCCTGACGCTGGAACAAAAACTTTGAAGAACATCCAGCTTAGAAACCCTGCTGCCAGAATGCACAGTGTCTTTTTTTTTTTTTTCTTTCGTCTTCTGCACTCATATTTGTTAAGCTGTTGTGTTTTGGTTTTGGTCTCTTGTTTTGGGGGGAGTTGTTCTGTTTCGGTTTTTTGGTCTGGGGATTTTCTTTTTGTTTTTATTTTGTTTTTGCCTTGTCTGAGAACAAACCTTACCACTTTTAAAGGAAAACGGGGAAACTGGATCTTTCTTTGAAGTCTCAAAGCTCCTGAGCCTCTCGTGCTGAGGTCTTGAGTTCCAGTGCCATCTTCCTTCCCCTTCAAAATCGTCTAACAAGAAATTCAATCTCTTTTTATGCCATGTCTCAGTGCGGAATGTTTTCCACATTGACTTGAAGTGGGAAATGTGACAGATGCTTGAAACATCCAAGGACCATAACTTGATGAAGAGAGAGTACTGAATGGGAATTGTCCAGCACGATCCAATGAGCTTTCTAAATGCTCTATGTCTGTGCCATCCGATAGGGCAGCCACTAGCCACACGTGGCCCTTGAGCACTTGGCATGTGGCCAGTGCAAGTGAGGAACAGAATTTTTAACTGTATTTATTTTGAATCAATTTAACTTTACTTTTAAATAGCCACATGTACGGGCGCCTGGTGGCTCAGTTGCTTAAGCGTCCGACTTCGGCTCAGGTCATGATCTCACAGTTTGTGGGTTCGAGCCCCGCCTTGGGCTCTGTGTTGTCAGCGCGGAGCCTAGAACCTGCTTCGGATTCTGTGTCTCCCTCTCTGCCCCTCCCCTACTCTCTCTCTCAAAAAATGAATAAACATTCAAAAAAGTTTTTTTTAAATAGCCACACAGAGATACCAGAGTGGACATCCCCAGTTAGTTCCTGGCTACTCAAAGTTAGGTCTGGGGATCAGCAGCATTGGTGCCTCTTGGATGCTTGTTAGAATGCAGAACTTTAGGCCCTGCCCAGATCTGCTGAATTAGAATCTGCACTTTCTGGGGCGCCTGGGTGGCTCAGTCGGTTAAGCATCCGACTTCGGCTCAGGTCATGATCTTACAGCACATGGGTTCGAGTCCCTCATCTGTCTCTGTGCTGACAGCTCAGAGCCTGGAGCCTGCTTCAAATTCTGTCTCCCTCTCCCTCTCTGCCCCTCCCCTGCTCATGCTCTGTCTCTTTCAAAAATAAATAAACATTAAAAAATTAAAAAAAAAAAAAGAATCTGCACTTTAACAGCATCCCAAGATGATTCTTGTGCTTGTTAAAATTTGGGAAGCAGCGAAGCGTTCTCTAATGGTTAGGGGGTGGTCTGATCTATTCGTGACTTTTTTGCCAATTAAATCATTTTGGCTGTCTGGCTCTCAAGATCCCTGAGTTGAGTATGGTCGGAAACCTCTTTAAATACAAGCGGGGTCATGTGCAGATGGCTAGCTCTAGTGGTGGGTGAGTAAGTTTATCCATTCTGGAAGAGTCCATGGAAGTGTTATGGTCTCAACCAACATGCAAGAGAAGGTCCTTGAAACAGGACCTCAGGAGGAGGTTCCAAGCCAGAGCTCACAGGGTCTCTTCTGTTTTGGCAGGAGCTACAAGGTCCGATTCAATAGTGTTTCCTCGTATTCTGACTCCCATAAATCATCAGGCGACGGGCCAGACCTCAGAGACAACTTTGAGAGTGCTGGACCCCTGGCCAACGTGAGGTGAGCAGGGGTCAAGGGCCTCAGGGAAGCCATCTTGGGGAACTGGATTTAGTTGCAAAGTGGGCTTAAGGTTCCTCCCTTGTATTCCTGTCCGTCTCTTGACTAACCAGCCGCACTCTAGCTCTCTGGGGACTCCCCTCGCCCCATTAAAGCACACTACCCAGACCCCTTCCTATACACACTCTGTCAGAGCCCCATCACCCAAATCTCGCCCCGTCATCAGCACATCATTTGTGCCAAAGGATATTAATCCCTGGAAATTACTCAGTAAGCTGCCCTTCCCAATGATATGTTACACCTAAGAGAAACTTCTGGAGACACCCTGCCATGCCCCAGTGGCTGTCAACCTGGGACACACATCAAAATCATCTGGAGATGTTTGCAATATACTGATAATCAAGCCCCATTTCCAGAGATTCTGATGTAATTGGTCTAGAATTGGGCAAGTATTGCTTTTTTTTTTTTTTTTTTAATTTCCCCAAGTGACTCTAATGTGCAGTCTGATTCAAAAAATACTGGCCTAACCCCATGTTTACCAAAGGGCAGTGGTCACATACCAAGAGATCATTTTATATGGGATACGGGCAGATATTTTATATTTCAACAGTTGGGAATGCGGTCCAATGAGCATTTAGAAAGAAAGAGAACTGTAGATCCCTGGTTTCACAGATGTTTGTGAAAACAAGGTTGATGCACACTGAGTATCCGGGCCTGGCCACAAATCTTTCCGACCTTTGCTAACCGAACCTTTTCCTACCTGCTCAGGACAGTGCTCGGTAGATGGAACACATCACGAGGGGTCCTGGATATTGAAGTCTTATGCCCAGTAGAGCACGTTGTAATAGACTTTATTTTTTCCAAGCAGTTTTAGGTTCACAGCAAAACTTAGAGGAAGATACAGAGAATTCCCATATATCCCCTCCCCCAACAGAAACAGCCTCTTCCAACCAGCAGCGTCTCCATCCAGAGTGGTCCATTGGTACGGTTGATGAACCTGCACTAACACATCATCATCACGCAAAGTGCATAGTGTACATCCGGGTTCACCCTTGGTGTTATTTTCTATGGGGTTTGACATCAGTGCGTTGTTTTAGTTTGACTTTGAAACACCGGTTTTGTGCATTGACAGCCGGACCCGGTTTTCTCTTGTTGAATCTATCACGGCTCAGAGCAGGCATTGGCAAGCTGTAGCCTGGAGACCCAATCCAGCCTGACCACTGTATGTTTTTACACAACCCATGAGCTGGGAGTGGTTTTTGCACTTGGACATTGGCAATTCACTTGAGGATAGAAACCGTTACCGTTGAACCCCAATTAAGCAAAATGCCACCCACCCCCCCAAACAAGGAACCCCAGTCTCATAGGTAGACATATGATTAAACAATCATCCTCAATAACTGTAATTAATAGTTTTTTAAATTTTTATGTCATCAATAAAAACGTGCAGGAATTTGTTTTCTCTCTGTTATGAAGGCATCCACATAACAGCTTGGATTTTGTTTCTTGGCCTAGAAACCTAAAAATATTTACGCTCCGGCCCCATGTCTAATAAGTTTGCCAATTCCTGGTTTGGAGGCTTAAAATGGGAAGTTTGAAACCCCCAGGTGAAGGTCATAATGGAAACGTGAGTCTAGGAGATGACTGGGAGGCAGGTCTTTAGGTGCATCGGGAAACGTATTAATGCATGAATTACCCGAACCACCTGCTAGTGAACACAAGTGGTTTTGGTGAGGTGGTGAAGACAAATTCAAAGCAAGCTAAACAGCGGTAATAAGTAAATAATAGTATCAGCAGCGGTCACATATGGTGACGTCGTGAACGTAAACATCGCATGTTTGAGGAACAACGGCTTAACCACAAAGCCATTACTCGTGCTGGGGATTTCCAGTCTCCTCCCTGGGCTGATGTTAAGGGGGGCGTGGCTTGGGAAGGAAGTTCCTGGCCCCCCTCCAACCAGTCCACTCCTAGTTATCAGCTCTCCTGCCACACCATCACCCTTGGAGGAAAAGGTGAGGAACCCACCTCCAGGAAGGGCATGAGCGGGCAGGTGGGGGAGGGGGGCTGAGGGGGCAAACACTGCCTAATCCCATGTACTTTCTTTAGAAAGCCTCTACAACCAGGGAAAGCAGGAGAGGAGAAGAGGCCCAGAGAGGAAGCATGCATGTGGGATTAAAAGAAGCAGATGTTAACCCATGCTAACCTTCACCTGACCCGTGAGACCCCCGGAGCCATGTCAAGTGCATTCTCCAATGACAGAGAGAATGGGAGTCCCTTCCCAGATTCCCCTCCTCCTCTCTGCTTCCCCCATCTCGATCTTTCGCCAACCTGACCCCTTCATTCTGAACAAACGGATTGGGAGGCAGAGGCAGAGACAGTATGGAATAGCCCACACGGATCCACGCCTGGGCTTGTCTGAGATGACAGTCTCCAGCAGAAAACTCCAGGCTAGGAAAGACGTGGGGTGGGGCGTTCTGGTCCCACTTGTGTGAACCTGTCACTTCTGTCCCAGTGACGTCGAGACCCACAGCCAGGACCAAGTGTCAGTCGGACAGCGAACTAGCAAGAGCGGCCATCTGACACACAGCCCTCCCCTTCTCATACCTCAGTCAAGGCCACCCCACCTTCACAGAGAGGAAAATCTCATTACCCTGACCCCCGCTGATTCAAGCAGCCACGTTTTCTTGGTGGCACCTATGCAGAGAGGGTTTGTGAGGCGAATTAATGTCAGAGACATTGCAAGGGGTGGAGTCAGCATCTTTATAAATCTTCCATCCCCTTGTAGAAGCACCTGTTTACACACCAACATTTGATGTGGGTTTTTTAAAGTTTTTATTTTAATTCCAGTTAGTCAACACACAGCGAACATTTGACGTGCTAATGACAAGGCCTTCTGATCTCGTTAATGCAGGTCCCTGAGGACTTCTGTGTTATGGTTTTCATTACCTGTGTACTTAAAACTAATCTGCTTGTGTCCCTTGTAGAATTCAAGCCCTCCCATAAAATAGACTAATTTCTCCAGCTTAGAAAGGGGCACACAAGACACAGCCAATGGTTCTGGGTCATCGCTATCCCCAGCTCATCCTCCTTAACCCAGGTGGGCTTGGGGCTGTCTGACCACCATGGGCTAATGGAGATGCTTCTGGCGATGCCAGATGTGTTAGTCTGCTCAAGCTACTGTAACAAAATATCAGAATGGGTGGCTTCAACAACAGAAATTTATCTGCTCACAGTTCTGGAGGCTGGAAGTCCAAGATCAAGGTGCCAGTAAGATTGGTCTCTGGTGAGGCCTCTCTTCCTGGTTTGCAGACGGCTGCCTTCTTGCTGTGCCCTCACATGGCCTTTCCTCTGTGCACATTCAGAGTGAGAGAATGCTGTTGGGTGTTTCTTCCTCTTCTTCTAAGGACACAAGTCCCATTGGACTAGGGACCATCCTTATGACTGTATTTAACCTCAGTTACCACCTCAAAGTCCCCATCTCCAAATACAGCCACCTTAGGGGTTAGGGTTTCGATATATGACTTTAGGGGAGACATGGAGTCCAAAAAACCAGAAGCCCCTCATGCCCCACAGTCCCCTAACCCAGACCATCTGTTGTCTCCTCGGCAGGTTCTCCGTATTTGGCCTTGGCTCCCGGGCTTACCCTCATTTCTGTGCCTTTGGGCATGCCGTGGACACCCTCCTGGAGGAGCTGGGAGGAGAGAGGATCCTGAAGATGAGGGAGGGAGACGAGCTCTGTGGGCAGGAAGAGGCTTTCAGGACCTGGGCCAAGAAGGTCTTCAAGGTAACCACCTGCCCAGATCCCAGAGACCCAGGGGGAGAAGTCATGACCCCCGAGACCTCCAAAGACAGAGTGCCTACACCATATGAAACAGAAGAAACCTGAGAGTACTTCTGGTATTTCCCCACCGTGTGTCCAGCCAGGATACAGCTTTAAACAACTCAGATGAGTTTGGGTGGCCTTAAAACACACATTCTTCACCCAGAATCTAACCTCCTGCATCACGGGCAAGGAGTTGGTCTATAAAACATTGTGCTCTTGGAATTTCAGAGCTGGGAGGAATCCATCCCTCGCTCACATTTGGTAGACAAGTAGACAAAAAAAACCATAAAGTAGGTTAGCCACACCAGGGGGCTGTGCCTCGACCTGGAACTCAGATCTCCCCGATTTGTCTACTTTGACATACTTATCCCTCTTGAGCTAGATCTTTGCTGACCAATGCAGGAGCCGCCGGCCCCATGTGCTATTTAAATGTAAATGTGAATGAATTCACATTCAGTAGGATGAATGGACAAGTGAATATAGTAGGTCTCTACAGTGACATATTATTTAGCCATAGAAAGTATAAAGAACTTATACCTGCTACAACGTGGATGGACCTTGAAAGCATTATGCTAAGTGCAAGAAGCCAGACACAGAAAGTCTATGATTCCGTTTAGATGAAGTGTCCACAATAGACAAACCCATACAGACAGAAATTAGAGTAGTGGTTGCTAGGGGGTTGGGGCCGTGGTTGTGCAACTGTGTAAATACACTCAAACCCACTGAATTGTACATTTGAAAGTGATGAATTTTATGTTACGTGAAAAATTTCTAGGGGCGCCTGAGTGGCTTAGTCATTTAAGCATCTGACTCTTGATTTCGGCTCAGGTCACGATCTCGCGGTCATGAGATCAAGCCCCACGTTGGGCTCTGCTCTGATAGAGTGGATCCTGCTTGGGATTCTCTCTTTCTCCCTCTCTCTCTGCCCCTCCTCCCCCTCTTTCAAAATAAATAAATAAACATTTTTTTAAAATTTGCATATATATGTACATAGAAATAATTAGGTGATTAATTATAATATATAATATTGTATATGAAGACAGAAATATTATATATTGCATAATTGCAGAAATATATTGATATTACATAAAATAATTAAATACATTTATATACTATAATAGATGTATAAAATTTTAATTTTTCATTAAATATGTAACTATTTAATATACACCTATTAAATAGAATTTTAAGAACTCTAATATACACATATTATATAGAATTTAAAATCTCATTCCTTGGCTGTGTATTTCATATTTTCAGCAGCCACAAATAGCTATTGGTTACTATATGAGACAGCACAGAACATTCCCATCATGATGGAACCTCGTATTGCACAGGGCTATTCTAGACATGAGGTCACAGGGGAAGAAATGCATAATGGCCTTCTATCTGCATGGGGGCATGATTCGATTGGCCATCCTGGGAAAAACGGAAAGCCATGAATACGGACCTGCCACCTGTCACCTGCTCCTTCCTCCACCCTGGAATGCATTCTCTTCAGCAGCCCCAGAAGAAAGCGGATTAGGTAGCTGCCTATCATCCAGTTAGCATTTTCCGTCCTGCATGTAAATGCAGATAGAAAGAGGGGAAACTGAGGCCCCTGAGCTAGAAGGATATTTATGGGGGGAGGCTGTGTCCATAAGCCTCTTTCTGGATTTCTTCCTAGATGAGGAGAACTGAGATAACTCGGCTCTTTTTACCTTGAGAAAACTATGGTTCTTGACTTCGTCAGCCAACTTCGATTGAACGCCCCAGAGTCAGGGTCTGCTACAAGCCCCTATACCCTTTGGTTATCACCGCCCCCCTCCCATCAAACTCCCAGTCCTGACAACCGCTAATCTACTTTCTGTCTCTGGGGAGCTGCCTGTTCTGGACATTTCATACGAATGAAATCATTTAATATGTGGTCTTTTGAAACCGGCTCATTCACTTAGCATGTTTTCAAGGTTCGTCCACATTGCAATATATATATTAGTACCTCATTGCTTTTTATGGCCAAATGATACTTTGCTGTACGTATATATCATATTTTGGTTAGCCGTTCATCAACTGATGGACATTTAGATTGTCTGAAAATCAACGCAAGGCCAAAAAAGGGTTAAATCTGCCCTTAAAAGCTTTTTAAGTATCCGTGGCTTTTATTCCAAAAACCTGAATTCCAAACAGTAATTCTTAGGACCACTAAAGTCGGAGAACTTATGAACTTGGCAAAAAAAAAAAAAAAAAAAAAAAAAAGGAAAAGAAAGGAAGAAAATTTGTATGTTCTGCTTTTAATGTAATTTTTTAAACCTTTAGAGGAAGATGGATGGGAAATTCTAAGGTGTTTATTTTCTTTTTTAATGTTAGGTCTCTACAAATATTGGTTTTAGGAATAAATGACGTAGAAGTTACATGTTAAGTAGAGGTTAAATCCTAAACTTATTAGTAAATATGATATGTCCAGCACATCAAAGGCGTTCAAAAAATACTGGATGGATTAGTGGATGGATTGATGGATGATTGGCTGGCAGGTATGTGGTGGGATGGAGAGATGGATGGGTAGGAGGGTAGATAGATGGAAGGAGGGAAGGAAGGAAGGAAGGAAGGGTAGGTGGAGAGATGGACAGATGGA